TGCTGGAGCACTTATGTAAAATATCTAAATAAATCTTTAATATTTCTAATTGCAAATGTACATAAATTGCACAGCCACATCATTTCTTTGAACACCAACAACTTTCTCTGTACATTATTACATAGTTTAAAAGGAGCTGAAGGATATTCAGCAAACACTTCCACTTTGCTTTTTTGTTTTTTAAACATACTTACAAAAGAAGATTTGTTTTTCTTTATAAGAGGATATAAAACATAGCGACTGCTTATCAGGAACAAGTATCAGCCTAAGCAGATATACAGAGAGAGGTATATCTTAAGACACAGTGATGTATGATAAAGGAATATGTGAACATGGAGGCTGCACTCTTGGGTACTGGTAGCTGATGCAGAGCCACATGGCATTTTACAGCAATGTCACAGCTCAGGTGATCTGTGAAAGTCAATGCTTGAATGTGACACCCTTTTCCGAAGCATGGTTGTTTCTGGATGTTGTGCAACGCCCTCAGGATTGGATATGGTTTGGAAAGCCCATGAGCTGCTGTTCTCCCACTCCCCCACGTGTGATTTTCCCCAAGGGAGGTGGAAAAGGCAGCAGTGCGGGGTCAGAGCAGGGCGGGTGCCACTGTCTGAGCCTCCTGGCTGAGCAGTCTCCTCTGAAACGGCCCTGAGGTTCAGACGGGCTGGGGATGGGCAGGGAGTGTCCCTTCCTGTGGCCACTGAAGGGAGCTCCTGGTGGCCGTGAGGCCGTGGCTCTGCCCCACACCAGGTCCTGGCCAGCCTGGGGACCCGGATTGCTTTGAACGCAAGCCTTTGGGAGGATGTGCCCCCAGCAGTCACTGCAGGTGGGAAGGACGGAGTATCTACCCAGGGACAGTGTCACAGGTGTTCCCTCTGGACTTTTGCTTTGCACTGTCCAGGCAAAGCTGTGTGAAGGACAGGGCAGGGACCGTGGTGGAGCTGCTGCACCCACTGGTCACAGGCTGCTGTCAGGCCTCGCCCCGGGGCTGCTCCCCCTGCCCTGGGATCGCTGGGGCAAATGAGCCCCTTTCAGATCACACCCCTGGGCCACAGCCCGTGGCTGTCCTGGCTGAACACATCAATCTATCTGCCATCTGTGACTGAAAATCCTCTCCTTGTCCATCACAGAACAGACCACACCACATTTTCTATTGTATCTGGGTGTGGGCATTAGGAACAGGAAAAAGCCTATGAGCTATCTAAACTTCAGGAATGACTGATTCCTTGCTGATTGCTTTCCTAGGAGAGCCTGTGACACCTCACTGAGGTCCAGCAAGTCCCTTTGCCCTTTAGAAATATTCATAGTAGCAGAACCTGTGTCCTGCAACCTTGCAGCAACCTCTGGGACTGGCTCCCAGACCAGAGGGTTCCATGTGTTCTCACAGTGCAATCAGTGCTTTACAGCTGCAAAAGCAGAAAACAAAACCAACCAGACTCAAATGACAATGCAAAGTGACACCGGACTCTTTGGATGGCGGCAGGATTTGCTTAAACTGGTGCAAAAGGGGCTGGTGACTACACTGTAGTATTAGTTGGCATGGGGAAGGACTGGGGCCCCTCCCATCTTTTGGCACTGAAGCCATAATCCCTGTCCAGAATGATGATATTTCCAGTCCACAGAGACCCTGGGATACTGGTCAGTCTACTTCATCCCCCTTCACACAAAACCGCTCATCTTTTCAGGAGCGTTCACTACAGTTTAACAAAACCCCAAATCAAAACTCTTAAAACAGAATCTTTGAGGTGGGCCCGCCACAAATCTGGATCCATGGCTTTGCTCCCTTCCCTCAGATCCCCAAGGGAGGAGGCTGGAACCAGAATGTGGGTCTGGATGCAGATTTGGCAGCCCGAGCCCACCTCTCCAACACAGCAGTGAGATACAGCCAAATCCCGACCGAATAAGCAGCACCAGAAGTAAGTGACTATATACAACTGTTAGTGAGATAGATACGGTACAGTAAACACTGAGAACATTTACAAAAAAATATTAAGACTTGTATTAAGATAGAAATTGGAGTGTTTTTGCTTTGTTTACACTTTGACGAGTTTGCACTAGAACAGCCTCTTACTGTAGGAAGTGCAAGAACCAGAAAGGAAATGGAGCCGATCACAAAACCTTGGGGACAGTGGTAGTTTGCTCTGGTGCTGCAGCACCTCTCGGGATCCAGGTATTGCTATGCCAGGAACCGGCTCTGAGGCCACGGCAGGGAACACGTGGGGCTCCCGCACTCACACACACACACGCACGCACACAGAGAAATGTACAGCTTATAAATAACAGAAACACAAACTGAAGGAACAGAACTGAGCCTGGACCTGAACACCTGCCCCCAAACCTTTGTTTTTTAGGGGAGGGTCACAGTTAGGTCCAGTTGTTGACAGTTGCAGGGAAAGGAAACAGGGAAAAACAGGGGGGAATCTCTACTGTAATGAGACTTTGTCCTGATTTAAATTTCTTTTTGTACTGGCTTGGGAAACTAAGCAACAACTCCAGAAGGTGTTGGCACTGAAACTTTTAAGATTTTAATAACTGGCTGTGGAAGGATTTAAGTATTCCTGCTATTTCAGCAGAACAGTGTGTTCAGTAATTTGCAAGTTTGAGGGTAACCAGGAGTTTGTGACAGATCGGGGTTGGGGGGGGAGCAGTGCCTTGACTTGTGGTTGAGGAGAAGATTAAGATGTACTGTGCTTAGTTTCAGCACTAAACAATTGGTTTGTGGGTGTTTCTTTTTCCAGCTCTTACGGAGAGCACTGACTGCATCCCAAAATTACTTCCATGTATGAATGGAAACGTCGCTGGTGGGGCACCCGCCCCGTGCCCTGTTAGCGTTTCCATTCCTCTATGTCACTTCTGTCTTGAAAAACTCCAGTCTCTTGCAACACAAATACTTAGAATTCGAAACAATCAGCTCTAAACAGGCATTTTAGGGAAAAAGCGTTTAAAATAGTCTTTTTTGCAGGGTTCTTATCATGTATTTGACTCTGAGACAGTGGCAGGTGTAAATCTACGTACCCAACGGTTCACAGTACCCTGTATATTCCTAACCTGTCTGGGTCTTTCTCCAGTTGTAACCTTGTCAGATTTGTGAGGTTCTTCAAAGCCATCTGTGCTAGTCTCCAAAATTCAAAGGTGACTGTACTTGCCATAAGTACTGAGTTATGACATTGCTCTGAGGAGCTCCATTTGGGGTCTGCTGTGTGCTGCACCCCTCGGCAGGTGTTGGCGGGGTGTGGAGACCTCAGTGCAACACGTTCGCTCCTCCTGGGCTTGGCCCAGGGCTTCCAGGGACCAGAAAAACATGTAGGAAATAGAGCATCTTTAATTTTGCAAACAATTGCATGAGGAAGAATGCTGTTAAGGAGCCTTATGGCTGTGGGGCAGCACGGCAATGCAGAGCTTACTGGCAAAGTGTCCTGCTCAGGCAGCCTGGGAAGTGTGAGGCTGGAGACGGTACCTAAGCAGAGCAGAGCTCAGAGAACGTCCTAGTCCCTTGGGCTGTACATTTACACATGGCAGGAGGAGCTAGGACAGGCGTTGAGCAGTGTGTTAACCTTTAGAGGGAGCATAGGCAGATGTCCTGTACACTGTACACTGTACACTGTCATCCGTATCTCAGAGAAACCTCTGGCTCTCGGTACGAGGGACCTGCTCTGAGAGTGGGACTTGTGAAGGACTAACTGCAAGAACCACAAACCCACAAGCACACCGTGGCGGCAGGTCAGCGGCACGACCCCCGTGAAGGGGCGCCCCCTCCGCCGAGCACAACGTGTCTGTGCCGAAGCTGCGCGTTTCGGCGCTGGGAAAGTCTAATCCTGGCTTATGCCTGCACAGTGCTCCTGACAAGGGGCCTTTCGGTGGTGGCTGCTGTTCTTGGTGGTTACTCCCTTATGACCATGTTTTACATTCTTCAAGCCGGTTAATTTCCATGCAGTGCTCATTCCCAATTTAAAGAGGACAGTATTCCAGAAAATGGGATCTTTTTTTTTCTAATGCATACTGTGAAAGAAAAGAAATACAATTACCGATCTTCATGGTTCTTCAGGGCTTTTTCTTGTTTCTTTGTCTGTTTTTCTCCCCAGAAATAGTAAAACTCTCAGCACAGAGCATTCCATCCCCACAATGAACCCTTGATCAAGCAGGAAGCTGCCACTCCACGTAGCCCCTCGCTCCCCCTCTACCACAACAGGCACCAGCAAATCCAGCCCCTGTCCCTCAATCACAGCTCAGGGACCAAGCTCAGGCAACATTCACTTTATTCTGTGATGGGAAGTGTGCGTGGGACAGTGCCTGGGGCTACAAAACTCTTCCCCTTTATCTGTGAGAGCAGAAGCTGTTGAGAGGAATTGAGTTGCCATTCACCAGCTGCCAGCTCCTCCCTCCACTCCTGTGCCAGAGCCTTGGCCTTGCTCTGTGCCCCTGGGCTGCCCAGGGACCCCCAGCAGCACCAGTCCTGCCCCCTGCCACTGGGGTTCCCACATGGCACCCCTTTGGCTACCACACCGCCCTGACCTTCCATCTGCACTGCACTCCCTGTATGGGCGGAGTTAATTAAACACTAATTAGCTGCATAAATGCCCTGTGGATGCTGTAAAAGTCAGTGGCCTCACAAAAGCCACCAGGAAGGATGCTGGGCTCAGCTGGGGTTCACTTTGGGAGGGCTGTGCTCCGGGGGGAGTCACAGGAGGAGCGGGCCAGGCTTTGCTGCCGTCCCTCGGACGCTACATCCCGCAGCACACTTGATCTGGACTTACTGGGCCCCTGCCTGCTGCAGGCTCTGCCCAGCTCCCTTTATTTCGCTTACTGCAATGACAAGGACGTTACTCCTTGCTGGGAGGGGTGAGGCATATCCTTTGGGCAGTTTAGAAGGAAAAGGTTACTTTTGTTTGAACATTAAACACTGATTCAAATCCAACAGTGACAGCGATTCTCAAATGTATGTTATTTCCTTATGCCACTCATCTCACACTCGACATTCCCGTCCCTCAATGTGCTGGCAGGACATCTCCCAGCAGGGTCAGTCGGCGCCGTCCGCAGTAAGGAGCTGGTGCTCGGGGAGCAGCCGTTCTCTGAAGCCGCGGCTCACGCCTGCTGTGCACGGTCCCTCCGGCCAGGCCTCTCCTGCGGCAGCGCCCTCCGCGCGTTAACAATTACTGCTGTTTCTGAATTCGCCATTCTCTGTAATCTGCAATTTAGTTGGGTTTGTGGGGGAGATCCCATTACGTGTCTGCATGCTGTACCTCTCTTTCAGCTGAGTAAGGGCACTCATTAGCCGTGCGTTGGCAGCATCCAGGGAAGCGATGCGTTTCTCCTGCAAGCAAACGGCCAGAGGGCACGGTCAGTGGAAAGGCACGAGCCGTGTCCCTCTGGGATGTCAGCCCAAGACAGTGACCCAGAGGCCTTTTGGACCAGGACCTTTCTCTTTGGCATTCTTTTAAGTGCTACGCAGCACTTTTTGAAATCCACAGGGCTACAAATCTCCCCTGCTTGTGCAATGTGAGCTACATTTATTTTAGGATCCTGATGAAAATGGAGGTAATGCAGTTGCTCTAATTATTCAGTTATATACTGTACTGTTTGTTCTAACTCAGCTGTTACAAAGATGGTAGGATTCCATTTCTAAACCCAAACTCTCCCAAGATAGTTATTCCTGTCAGTGTTTAATTAGTGTAAATTAATAGTTTAAATGACTTGTAGCCTCCCAGGCTGTCTTTGATGGTAGCTCTCACCGATTAAAAGCATTGTAAGGATGGGAGCAAGAGCTTCCATGTTGCAGCCTGATTCTACCAGTCCTGTTCTTTGTGACACTGAACAAGTGTCATCCTCCTGTGACTGCCGTGAGCAGGGGAACAGAACCAGCTCAGGGGCACAGCAGTTGCTTGTGTATAACTCTGGAAGTCTGTATATGAACACATCCAACACGTGTACAGCCTGAGGTGACCAAAAGAGAACAGCAGAGAGTGTGCAGGGGCACAGTCAGGACCTCACATATACCCCACGAGGTGCAGGGAACAGGAGAAGGTTCCAGAGCTGCTGGGAGGCTGCAGGTACCACCACTGACAGCTTAGGGACACCCTGGGTCTCCTTGGCTCTGCTGGAGTGCAGAACACAATGGGATGCATGATTTAGCAGCTTTGAACAAATTGCTCCCCAGAAAAGCTGGGTTTTTTACACAAAGTTATTACTGTCACCTTTTTAATTACCCATACAGTGAATTAGTCCTATACAATGAATTAGTCCTGTGACTCACAAGTGATCGATAGGGTTGTTAAGTGTAAGGCCAGAATATACTATCACTTCTAAGCCATAAGCTGTAGGGAGGCCTGGTTGCTGAGGACATGGTTAAAAAAACTAAAAGATTATGGGCTGAATTTTCATATTCTCTTTTCCAAGCACAGTATTTTGCATCCATCATGTGATGCTTCTCTTCCACTGTAATTGATTGTAGTAACTGAGCTTCCCAATCCTGTAAATCAAAACCCAAAGGCTGAAAAAACATGTTGGCTTGGCTGTGGGCAGGCTGTGTGTTCCTTGTGTCCAGGTCCTGTTCTGATGATCCAGGCATTACTGGAACATGAAGCACCAAGCAATGCCCCAGTGGATGTGATCCTTTCACTGACTGAGTTGTGGGCACAATCCCTCCCCAAACTGCCACCCCACGCCCTCTGTGCTTACACTCCAGGGCTGCAGACAGCTGTGACAGTCACAGTGTCCTGCTGCAGCTGCCCTGTCCCTGCCTGCAGCTTGGTGCTGACACACCCATGTGGTCTCACTGTGGGCTGGCACTGCTGCAGCGGGGACTGTGTGTTGGCAAACCCACCCTGAAAACTGCAGCAGCCTTTGGAACGGGGCACTCACCTGTGCATCAATAATCTTCTGCTTGGAATCCACAGCTGCCTGCATTTCAGCGTGGTCCTTCTTTAACTCCTCCTCAACTGACATCAGTCTGAGCACACAAGAAAACATTCCATTGGTGGGGCCCTGCTACCCTCACACTCTGCCTCCTCTTACCCACAAACCAAGCTTTTTTTCTTGGCTCTTACTCTTCCCTGGAGCTCTCTCACTCTCTCAGAGTGCCCCAAAGCTGAGTGACACAGCACAGTGAAGGCTGACCCAGTGGTGAGGGCTGACTGAAAGCACTAAGTGGGCCTGGCTCAGGTAAAGGTGAAACCAGCTGCACTGAAACAGTCCTGGACAAATGTAAACACCACTTCCCACTGGGTGTGAGAAAGGGATTTAGAGTTACAAGTAAGGGGTGATGATGAGATTCATAGCTATATGAACAGAACAAGCCTGCCAGAGCCTCCAAGCTCTCCCCTCCTGAAGTTCTGCCCTTGTGCATCAGGAAAACGTTGGGGTTTTCCTTGTCCCAGGTAACGCTGAGGGGAAATACGGTACGTGAAACGTGTCTGCACCTCCAAAGAACCCTGATTCTCCTGAGAAGGGGTGAGCTCTAGTACCAGCCAGGCTGCCCTGCCTTACTGCCTTCCCCAGCACTCCCATCTCCCTGTACCTGCTGATGATGCCCTTCATCTGGATCTCCTTATCCTCCTGCTGCCTCCGGAGCCGCTCCTCGCTCTCCTCCAGCCTGGCCTGGTACTCCAGCACCAGCTTCTGCGTGGTCTCCTCCTGGCATTTGAAACGAGTCTCGTATTCCTCCAGCTTCTTATTGGAGATGCGGAGCTTGTCCTGCAGCACCACCAGGTCCTGCTGGTACTGAGCGTGCAGGGACAGACACAGGAGGAGAAAACACATGTGGCATGTTACCTCGTAGGGTTTGCCCTGGCCAGGGTTTCCCCCAAACCCGCTCACGCCCTCTCCTTGTATCAGACTATAGCTGCAAACCCGTATCAGACAACCCCGCTCGCCGACACCTCCTCTTCCGTCTTCTCCGCGGCGCCAGGAGCGATGCCGGGTCCGCGGGGCGGGCAGGTCGCTGGCAGGTGCAGAGAGGGCTGTTAGCAGAGTCTGGCATTTCACAGGGGAAATGCAGGTTAGAGCGGGCCAAAGGAAAGGCGGGGGGCAGCTTCTCACACTGACAGCGCGGGGCTCGCACAGACAGGAGAGGCTGCAGCCGTGGGATTTGGGGTTCATGCAGGCGCTCTTCAGTCTGCAGAGTAACAGGAGGCTTTGGGCAAGCTGGGTGCCAAGCACGAGGGGCAGTGACAAATGCAGGACACTGCTGTCTCTTCATTGAGCCGAGGGCACTGTGCTGGCTGAGCAGGGCACAGAGCACTCCTGCCTTTTGGGGCCCAGCATTTAACTCAGATCTCAGGGTTCAGTCCAAGAAGAGCTGCTGCATGAAGCCAAGACCCCACAGTTGTACTGCTGATTTAGGTGAAGTTATAAATCAGCAGCAGAATAACAGAAAGCAATTTAAAAAATTAAAAGCTTTTGAACTTGGTAAAACTGGGTTCAGCTATTGCAGCAGCACAGCATTCAGTAAACTTGCTTTGCTAAAGGAAAATCCAGTGAGTGTGTGCACAAGAAAACTGCTTTAATTTAAAAAAAAATATATTTGGACATAGTATTTTAAAAAAGCATCTCAACTGGAATAACTTTAGAATAATTAACATGCAGCTGATAACGTGACAAGCTGCTTTTAAAGAGTCAGATATGGGAAAAAGGCTTCCATGTGAGTCATGAAGGCTGTTAAAGCTACAAGTGCTATTTATGAACTGAGAGAAGTGCACTCTGTTGTGTCTTGACTTGGCCTTCCCTCTTTGGCCATCTCACCTGGGTAGGCACTGCAGTGGTGGGGTGGTCGTGTCCCAGGTGTGAGAGTCCTCCTGGACTGTGTGAGCTCAGCCCAGCTCTAGGGAGAGGGGAGGGCAGCCAGGCTGCTGCTGGGGACTGGCCGGCACTCCACTGACAGCAAAAGCAACTGCAGCTCCCAAGGATTGAAAACTTAGGAAGCTGATGGTCTTCCTGAACTGCCAAGGTACTGGAGCAAGGCGATTTTCCTTTAGCAAAGCTCTGACTGCGGCACAGGAACAACACGGTTTGCACATGGAACCTGAAGCAATGAGGGAACAAAGCACCCGTGCAGCTGCACAGAAGCACTAAAGTCAGACAGCAGGGAGTGGCTTGAACAGGAAAGATTAAATACCTACCCTAGCCTTAAAATAGGAGCAGCGTAAGTGAGCTCAGAGGAGAGCAGGAGAGGCCTCAGAGCCCGAAGGAGTCGCTCCTGTCTCTAGAACACTTGTCTCATTCTCAGTTACCGTTCAGGTCTTACAGTAATGGGGAGAGAGGTTATGCTAATGGTGATCTTGAATGTCAGTGACTGATGGGACAGCAGAGTAAGGAAAGATGCTGCATGGCAATGAGACAGCCTGGGCTGGGACTCCTGCTGGGCTTGGGCCAAGCATTGGGATGTTGCAGTACCATCAGAGTTTGTAACCCCACCACTGTCTGCCCTGCACCCAGTTAGGATGGGCTGAACCCACAAAACTGCCCTGATCTTCCTGGGGCAGCTGGGAGCTGCTGCCTTCTACCTCCTGGCTCCTATGACACCCGCCCTCAGCATTTTCCTTGGGTTTAAGAGGTGACAGTCCCCAAGTGACACAGCACAGCAAAATGAGCACAGGAAGACTCCTGGAAAAAAACCAGGAACATATCTGTGCTGGGAAACAGGACGGGGGCTTAGGGAAGGGTGATGTCTGCAATACTGGTGTGACAGAAGAGAAGCACATTGAGGAAACATCCCAAATGCTGCTGGTGCTCAAGTGCCACAATCCTGGCAGAGCCAGGCTGCTGGGAAAGATCCTTGCAGAAGCAGCAATCAGCAAAGATGGGATTTTCCCAGCTTCTGACTGCTGGATCTTCATTTTTATCCTTCTTTTTCACCCTAGCCAGGCCTACTTTGTCTCTTCCCAGACTCACCCAGGAAGGAGGGGAAGGGAGCAGCACCCCTCTGCTTCAGAGGCACAGGGCCCAGGGGCTGAGACTGAATACTCTGCACATGGCTTCCTGGCAGACCCCTGACTGGCCAGGCCCTCATCTGTGTGACACTGCCATAAGCTCCTGGAAGTGCCACAAAGTCACCCCAGGCACCAGTGCTGTCTCTGAGACCAAAATTTGGATTGAATTTTTAGGTCTGTGAACAGCTTTTTGACATGGATGCTGCTTCCTGCTCTGTGTCCCTGTTGTGAGGCACGAGGCTGCCTGTGCCTTACTCCATCTCTGTTACAGGTGTGCTTACTCCATTTTTTAAGCTTTCTTCCCAGCAGCTGGATGAACTGGAATGGGGAGAGTAAGAGGCACTGGCTGGCTGCAGAGTTTGTTTCAGGGCAGCATCAACACTTGATTCCTGGCTCCTGTCTTTCTTACTTGCTTTCATCAGAAGGTGATTCCAGTCACTGAGTGTATGAAAACCTCCCAAACGTTCCCCACAAGTTCCCTGTGAGGCTGAGTAGGATGGGGAGCAACTGGTCCCCCTCTCTCCTGGGCAGGGACCTGCACACAGCCCACCTTCTCCCCAGGGTGCTCAGGGAACGACATTCAAGGAAATCCTCTCTCTAGTCACAAACTTGTTTCAATCCAATCAGGTTTTACCTTTTCTGCTTGGCTGAGTTCGTCCTTATTCCTGAGCTTATCCCTGTGCTTGGAATCTGGGTCAATGCTTTCATCTTCTAAAAACTGCATGTTCATATTCAAAAGCCAAGCAGCAGTGCGGTCCAGGGCATTGGGGTTCACAGGAGAAGGGGCCTACAATGAAACAATGATACAACCATGACAAAAGAAAAACCTGTAACACAAATGGTCATGAAGCTGGAGAGAGAGAGTTTCCTTCCAAGCAGACCCTCTCCCAAGCTGCTCAGACAGCAACGACCCAGGCTGAGCTACCAGAGCAGCTGGGGCTGGAGCAGGAATAACTCCTGTTCTGCACTTGGACATTATTTTGGGTCAAGCAGTAGGAGTCATGGCCCCAGTGTCTGAGCAGATCCTGCCACCTCACAAGGACGTGACCTGCAAAGGTGCTGAGCTGCAGGTGAGCAGAGTGGCTGGATGTGGTTTATTCATTCCATGAGCAGAGTTCTCTCAAGTCTTCATCTTGTTATGAGCCATCTTTGCTTCTGTGGATTCCATAAAACAAGATCTGAAAACTGAAACACTCCTTATGACCGTGCAGGTGCCTTCTTGGAGAAGTTTCTTTTCATCTGAGGCTACACCAAGGATGCTGAAGGGATCTAAATGCTCAGTATCACTTACTAGCAGTGGTGTTCAGTGGTCAGTGAGCTACAGTCACATCTGCTGCCTTTCAGTCCTGGCCTGGGCAGGAACTGCCAGTAGCATTGCCTAAATATTTTCCAACCACATTACAAAGAAGTCACTCCTCAGCTATTTCCCCTCCATCCTGCTTTGTTATAAACTGCAGTAAATAGTCAGATGAACACATGGAATCTGGATGGTCATTCAAGTTAATGACTTGGGAAATCAAGTTAACAAATCAGAAATATCAGAGACTTTCTCCTTCATTCCAGCCTCTCCATAGAGAACAGGAGGTTCTGTGTCAGGAGTGGGGACTGGTTTAATTTCCTCACTGCAGTCAGGGGCTTTCCCATGCAATCTTCCAGTCTGGTCTTCTGCCTCCAGAATTATGAATCCGAAGTATCAGACTTGGCTCATGAACACTGCTTGCTACAAATCCTCATGCTGCCAATGTGCAAATAAAATGTGCAGAGTGAGGGTGGGAGAGGCATTCTGAGACTTCAGGTCTGAAGAGAAACTTCAAGAGGACCACAGGGGTGGGTAGAGGAGTCTTCTGCGAAGAGAACCTGGCCAGGGCTTTCTGATGGCCACCTGGAGAATCCTTGTCTTTCTGGAAGAAACCCTGCTACAACCAGGCCTGTGCTCCTTGCACAGCTCTGTGCCCTCTGTCCCTAGTGAGTACTGATTGTGTTACACAAAGGCTGCTGCCTGGCGCTGCTAATGCCAGCGCTTACAGATCGGCATGAGGGAGCAGCCCCGGATGGGAGCATGCACAACCTTCTGTGGGCAGCACTGGGCAGGCTCCACAGCTGCCCTGTGTGGGAGAGGCAGACACAGCAACACTGAGCTAACTCAGGGTCTGGGTGCAGTCTGGGCCCTTGCTCCTGGACTGGTTGTCCAGTCTGTGTGCTTTTCTTTTTCTTTTACAACTCTTCCTTTGGGCAGGTCTTACTGTGATAATGTTCTGTAGGGCTGGTTTTGAAATGTAGAGTGAATAAATGAGCACTATAAAAACCATTTGTTCATGCCAGGACAACCAGAGGGCCCCAGGCCTGTAACCTACTGCCTTCCATTTTACCTCCACGGACAGTGGAATGGAATCCTGTGCAGCCCAGCACGTGGTCTGGGACTGGGATCACTGCAGAGCTCTGCACAGTGGGAACGTCGCTCTCGGCTCCTTCCTCCCCGCTCCTACGGGGGGTCTCACAGAGCAAACAGGAATGTCCAGGAGTGCTGTGGCCCTGCTGGGATGGGAGCAGCAGCAGGGAGGCTCTTACAGGAGATCAGGGGCTGTTCCAAGCCTGGGAGATGGCACGGGGTTGAGTATGGCATGGGATGAGAGCCTGGGCATGGAGAGGCAAAGCAGTGACAAGATGGTAGCGCAGGACAGCGGCACGGCTGCCATTGCCCTCGAGCCTCTGCCACCTTACCGCCGTCACACTCCAGTGCCACTTGACAGAGGGACACAGGGTGCTGCTCTGTGCTCCTGTCCCTGGAGGGCCTCTGTCTCAGGCCAGAGGTGCCAGAGCCGAGGTTCATCCCCCCATGCGATGTCACTGTGGGGTTGGCACTGATGCGGCAGCTCAGAGCCACATCCCCTCCCACGGCAGCAACCTCCACGGGCTAACCCTACCTGGCCCCTTCAATGCCAGGGCCCGGACAGCCCGAACTCACCTGTTTGTGCATCGTGCGCTGCTTCATCTCGGGGCTGTCACCCTTGGAGGAGGAGGACTGCTGCCGGAGCCGCGCCCCGCTGCCGGGCCAGTCGGGCGACGAGGACATCATGCTGCCGCTGGAGGGTCGCTGGTACTGCACCGTGTTGAGCAGGGAGGGCGGCGTGCGGCCGCGGGTGACAGGCGGGGGCGGCGGGGGCGGCTGGTCGATGCGCCGCTGCGGCCCCGCGCTGTTCTGCCGCGGCATCGTGGGCTGGCCGCCCTTCTCGGTCAGCGACAGCTGCCGCCGGGCCAGCTCCCCCGGCCGGCGCGAGAAGTCCTCGCCGGCGGCGGGGCCGGCGAAGCCGTGCTTGTTGGCCGTCAGCTCCTCGCTGTTGCTGTGGGAGCTGAGCGAGCTGTGGCACTCGGAGCCGGAGTCGCCCAGGCCGCGGGGGGACAGCGGCAGCCCGGCGGCCATCTGGTACACGGGGTTCTGGAAGGACAACGGCGCCAGCAGCTGGGGCCGGCCGGGCGCGCTCTCGCCGCTCGGCGTGGTGGGGGTCTGGCCCACCCGGCGCACCGTGGCCATGCCCGTCACGCTGTTCTGCTGAGTCCGTGTGGTCCATACGCCCTGCAACTGCCCCAGGGACGACTGACTGTCATTGAGGGAGTCGGCCGTGCCGGGAGCGTTGGCCCCACTGTCCAAGAGCCGATTGTCCTGCAAGTCCACCATGGACAAACTCTTGCTGCCATTAGACATCTGCACGTCGGGCTCATTGGCCTCTGAGTAACTGGAGCTTCGGGCAGGCGAGGGCTGGGCCCCAGCAGACCTTGTGACAAAAAACAAGTCCTTGTTTTCAGGGGTTGGAGATGGTAACCGTGTGAAATCTATCAGACTGCGGGGAAGTCAGTGCGTAAGGAAGAGGAGAGGAAAACAAAACAAAAAAGAAGAGTTGTGAATGCTGCACCAGAGCAGGAAAACGAAATCACTCAGAAATCAGGGTGGCGCAGCTGTGTGGGACAGGGATGGGGACAGGGACAGGGCCCAGCCCCGGCGGGAGCGGGGACAGGGCTGGCCCAGCCGGGACAGCGTGAGGAGTGGGGAGGGTGCTGTGGAGCCCTGGGTGCTGTGGAGCCCTGGGTGCTGTGGAGCCCTGGGCTGGCCTGGGAGCAGGCAGGTGAGGGCAGGTGAGTGAGGGCAGTGTGTGCACACAGGGCACTGCACTGTCACAAGGCTCAGGGACACACTCCTGGGGGCTGCTCTGCTCTGGGTCAGTGCAGGCCACCCTTCCTGCCCCCAAAGGCTTTATCCATGTTAGTCCCATGTCCCCTGCTCAGCAAGCCCCTGCAGGCACACAGGCCAGGCTTTGGACAGCACAGAACACGGTGGGGGCCAGGTCCACACCAGGCCTCCCAGGCCAGTGAGTGCTCACACAGCAGAGCCAGAGCCTGGCAGCTGAAGGTTATCCCCCCACTCCTACTGCAATGCACATTCATGCAATATTGATTTCTTGGGGATAGGAAGAGAGAGCTTTGCAGTAGCTTAATGTGAATATTCTGCTGATCAAAGATGGTGCACTGTAAGCAAGTATTGGGGGAGAACATATTGTCAGAGATCCTCCATAGCACTGGATTTAAATAATTACACCTCATGCTGGGAGGCACTAGAGATGAAAGCTCTGATTGGAGCAAGTACAGTGCCATTGCTGCCTTTCATTCCTAATTAAACTGTTAAATATGATGCAGTTTCCACTTGCAAACTATTCTACTAGCACAGTCTTTCCGTTTGTGTGGGCTCCATTTCCTTTTCCACAAACAGAAACATTAGAGGTCTGCAAAAGCTTCATCCTCCCTATGAATGAAGCTCCTTACTTAATCAGGCCGAAAAGTATGTAGGTGACTGTCTGTGAATCACTGCTCAGCAGTGAAAACTCAGTTTTATAAAAACTGGACAGAGTAGACTGAAATTCCTTGTGAGGCCTCTACAGCTTGGATATTTCCAGAATTACCCAGGTTTGGATCTCAGTTGCAGCACACACCCTACGTTGTACAAAGATGGGCAAAGCCAATCCTGTACATCTCTCATAGCCATTAACACCACCACCCATCACCTCGAGGTCAGCACTAACAGACCCTCAAGTCCTCAAAGGATGAACACTTTGCTTCTGCAGCCACATCTCAACAGCTGAGACCAGAAGCACCAGGTTTCCCAATTTCCCAGACCACATCCCCAGTTCTGGCTCTGAAGGGGCCCAGGATGGAGCCATGGACTGGCATTGCCACCCCCTGCTCTTTCCAGAGTCAGAGCTCCACTACATCCAGCACCAGTTCTGCAATGCCTGGTCAGAGGATCAGGCAACTCCACACTGCACCCTGTCCTGCCTGTCCCTGCGTGAATATTCTGTATATCCTTGGTGTGTGGCCAGGCCCCACTGGTCTCTTACCCAGATAAGTCATTCTCAATGACCATTTTCTGCAGCCCTGCAGAGATGCTATTGCCAGCACTGGGCGTGGAGGCAGCGTGGTCGGCTGTGACCGACACCTGCACACAGGCCGGGTTACTGAGAGCAGCGTTGACGTCCCGCAGGATCCGGGGCAGAGGCCCCAGTTTGGTGGCAGTTCCCTGGGCAGAAAAGAGAGAAGAGTTACCACCACCATCTTGTGCTTTTTGCTAGAGAACTGAGGGCTTTGCCAATTTCTGGACAGTCTCTTCAGGGAATCACAAGAACAACATTTTCTCCATCATTTCCTGCCCCAAAGCTGTCCCTGCCATCCCCTGGATACCTGCTCCAGTTGGGAAATAACTTCCCAGAGTAGCGAGTGCAACGTGGACAGTTCCCGGCCCAGGTCAATGTAGCCCTCAAAGCCAGCTGTGTTTGAGATGGTTTCGGGATTGGAAATCTCCAGGAGAAATCTCTGCATGTTAGTCCATTCATGTTCCAGGAATTGATTCATGAAGGACATGTATTCCTCTTTGCTGCCAAACCTATTGAGAGAGCAACACAGATTTCAGCTGAATCAAGGGGGAAAGAAGTGCAGTCCATGGAAAGGGCAGGCACAACACAGCTAAGAACCCTCCTCTGGCATCTCAGCCTTTCCAGTCCTTTGGGATCCCTGGCCTGTGAGCAGGCACCTGGGACACCTCACTGACCATGGAACCAAAATTAATCCCAGCCTGATCCAGCTAAGCCCTCATCAGTGTGGGATTTGCACAGCAGAAACAAAGGTGAAAGCTGGAGAAACAAAGGAGTTCTTGGTAACCCAGTGTCTGACTGCTGGGTCAGGGCACAGCCTCCAGAAACAGGACCTGTCACTGGAAATCAAGATGCTGTCACAGCAATCACCCTCAGCTGACTGGAGCCCAGTGACGGATGGGGGCAGGAATCCTGCACTCTGCAGCAATGCACAACTGCTCTGGGATCACCTTGGAGAGCCACCCCTGCAGCTGGGCCAGCCCCATCATCCCCTCAGGCTTCCTGCCACCTCCTTCTGCCCTCCAAGCTCTCCACCCTCAGTGTTTTGTCTGATTTAGAGCACAACAGGGAGGGCCTTGTGGTTGGACTGTCCTGGCAGCAGTTGGTGCCGTGCCAGCGGTTCCATGGCACACGCTCGGCCCAGTGCCATGCACAGGACAGCTCAGCTTGATCACTTCAGCTTGACTAATGTCAGCTTAGTTAAAGAACCTTTCCTGCAAAGTGCTGGAAATATGAAAACCCTTTAGTTAGGGATTGGTCAGGAATACAGAGAATTTCTGTCATCTAGTGTAACACACTTGTTCATCTCCTGCTGGCGTCCGCAGGCGCGTCTGTGCGTTCCTGACTGTGAGTGTGAGCACTAAGCCAGTTTCCAGATCTAAGGAGCTTTAGATAGAAACTGTCCATTCATGTTTCAGAAAGCTCATCATTTTGTTATCAGAGCTCAGGATAAGTAGCTCAGAGCTCCAGCCAGTGAAAAGATTTTCAGAAATCTCTCTCTTTGTTTCCATCAAACCAATGGGCTTAGTTAGAAATTGATGGTGTCCCTGTTCTCAAGCCTTCCCAGTTCAGTCAGCTGCATTTTAATAGCAGGGAGGGTCCCAGAGCTCAAAGGAGGGATGGAACAGCTCCTGAGCCGAGTACATCCCTGCTGCTGACTGGGTTCTGGTTCTGTACCCACAGGACACCACAGGACAAAGTCCCCACTGCCACCCTGTTGCTCGTCCATTTGGTCAAAACAGCCTGTTTTCCTGCACATAAAACATGTCCTGTTTTGGAAACTTGAATGATCTCCCTGACCTGACAGTGAGGGAATGAGTCCCAGAGAGATGTGGGGAAAAAGCCAACAGGAAGCAAACAGGCCCTTTCCAGCAAGGAAAGGAGTGGCCAGTGTGGGACTCTGCGCCAGTGCCATGGCTCTGCCCACGCACCCAGAGGTTCTGTCCCCTCCCCAGCCCTGCCCTGCCCACAGCCTGGCTTACTTGGCAAAGTTGGCGAGGTTCTGGGTGACCTTGGCGATGAGGGTCAAAGTGCGAGCGGTGCGGTCATCGGGGTACTCCTGGAGCAGGCTGAACAGGGACGGGGACATGATGGCCGGGCACAGGAACCGCAGGAACAGGGAGGCACTGATCAGGCGCTCGCTGATGTCGGGGCGGCCTCGGTTGCTGCACTCTTGTCTCCACGAGGCAAAAACTTCCTTAAGCTCTCTTGGGAAGACACTGAAATGACAAAAGGACAGGCAGTGTCTGTCAGGGTTGTGAGTCTCAAATCACACAGGGGATAAAGCAAAGCTGCTCAAGCTGCTCTGTAAAGTTGTGAGAGAAGCAGCTCCTCTTGGACCTGATGCTGGATGCCAAGATGCCAGAAAACTGGGGAGACTGGGATATGAGACAAACTGTGCACAGAATCTCTTCAGGACTTGGTGGCTGTGCTGTGGGGTGCTCTGAGCTGGAGGAAGCTCGGCCAGCAAGGAGAGCATCTCCTGAAGAATCAGCAGCAGCACTGGAATCTCTGGCACAGCTGGAGCTTGGAGGGGGAGGGGGCTGTACAAACTATAATACTCCTGTTCAAGCACCTGGATCAAATCCCACTGTGCCTAGTACAAACACACAGCCCCACCGGAGTTCCTCCAGCCTTGTAGCTCCAGACCTCAGCCTGCCTTTCCCGGATGCCAGAATTCCCTGGGGGCCAGCAGCACTGCAGCAGCCCTTATCGCTGGAGAACTGCTGCCTGTTCCTGCTCGGCCCCAGCTCCCTGCTCCCACCTTATCCTGTTCCCAGCATGTGTTATTTATTCAGCTGGAGACTCCCACCCAGAAGCAGGCTGGCACTGGGCTGCCACTGGTCCCGGTGTCCCTGGCACACAGATCCCATTGCCCTGGCCAGGAACCACCATCCTTGTGTCACACCCAGAGCTGTTCTCCGACAGTGGGGGTACAAAGCAAGTGAGGGGGGTTGGGCTCCATTTCAGGCCATCTGACCTTCTGACACAGCGGTGACACTCCATGGAAGTGCCTGGAAAATGCTGCCATTCTGCTCTGTGCTGCCTTCACACTTTCACCCTCATAAGCTTTTTTACTCTGAGCTCTACAAATAACATTAGCCAATGTCTTTGGCTGGATAAATTCTCCTCTGTCTTTGGCTCGATCCACACAATTGGACAAAACCCTTTCACTTCATGGTACTTGCCCAGAAACAGGAGAATCCTTTAAGCAATTTGAAGCTTGAATGATCAGGACAGGTTGTGCAGTGACTGGAGAGCAAACCCCTGAAATGCAGCACCCACACATTCCCGTCACAGGCTGGAGCCCGTGAAAGTTTAATGGTGTCACAGCGGATGGAATTCGGATCGTTGGCTTTATGTGACAAACGGGCCCGTAATTCATTACCCAACTTCCCAGTAACGAGCTTCCACATGCTGAAATTCTGCTTACACTGAAACTTTCCAGATGTCCAAATTATGTCATAATTATAACAATTTTCGGTTATTGTGAACCTCTTTCCTCTCCCTGACTCTCTCCACAGATGAGCACACACACTCCAGTGCTCTATTTAAAGCAGGATCAGTGGCTGTTGGGATACCTTGGCCAATCCCAACACTCATCAACCCAATTAATCCCCAAGAACCACTGAGCTCCAAGGACTGGGGGGGAACCACTCAGAGCACAGCTCAGCTGCTCCAGCCTTCCTTGGAAAGGCAGGATGAGAGGAACAAACTTCCCGTGCATTCCTTTTTCCCTGGGTCCCTTTTCAAGGCTATTTTTAGAGTGACCTTTGAGTGCTGCTTTGGGTATTTTTAGGAAGACATTAATTCAAACCATTATGATCCACTGCTGACTAGAAGTGGTGAATCCCTCCTGGGAGAGCAGGTAAACGCCATTCCTGAGTCAGATTTATTAATTGGCCAAGGATAAGGAATAGGATACCTGTAAAGAACCTGCCCTTTGTGTACCTGTGGTAGATAAACAGCAGCCTGAGTGAGCCTCTTGCTCCCTGCTTTCTCCCTAAACAGGATCAGGAAAAGCAGTTCCCTTCCTGGTTTCCAGGAGGGCACTCAATATCTTGGGAGATTATCTGTAATAAATTTTCTGACCTCAACACAACAGCTGGGAGAAGAGAGAAAATGAGAAATCCTCATTATCAAAGACCTCCTTCCTCCAAAGTTATCCCTCATTGATACTTTGCAACAGTGTTGCTACATTAATAAAAACTAAACCCAGATTTTAAGCAGAAAGGCTGGAAATCCAGCAGTGAGACAAAAATGCTCTTTCTTTCATGATCAGGACCAAAGGCTCTGGGTATGTTAGCAAGAAGCAGAAAGAAATTATTTCTCCAAGTAAAGATAATCCCAAGTTCATCTTTTTCCCCTTTGAGGTCACCTCTGCAGGCAGCAGCTGTCACAGACCCAGGGACTCCTGGCTGCCAGTCTCAGCAGGAACACCATGAGCCCAGCTGTGCCCAACAACCACTCCTCAGCAGGATCCACTGCCAGCCCATTTGGGATATTCGGGCCTGTCCCAACCAGTTGCAAGAACCTTTACCCTGAGAACAAACAACTCGGAAATGCCTCCAGCTGCATACCAGGCCTTGGGCCAAGGAGGCAAAGGGCTCCCATCACCCAGCAACCGCCCAGGGCTGGGAGAGAGAGGGGTTAATCCAGAGGAATGTGGGATGCTGAGCCAAGCAGGGAGAACAGCATCCTCCTCCCAGCTCCAGCACTCTGCAAGCAGAGAACATCTGCCCAAACAAAAGCTGCCTGTGCTGGGGCAGCTCCTCGCAGGTGCCACAGCCCCTGCCTGCTGCAGGATTTCCGAGCTTTGCCGGATGCTCCTGTAGGTGTGGATCCATCAGTCCCATCCAGACTGATTTGTTCCAGGGGTGGAAGATCCAGGACATGCATCTCTGCCCTTTATTCCAGAATTTCATACACTTTTGGTATCGCGTACCTCTCTGAATCAGTCAAACTTGGTGTTCCTTGACTGCACTGCCCTGTCCCTGTGCCCCAGAGACCCCTCAGCCCCTCTGAAAACAAGGGTGCCAGAGAGTCTGGGTGGGTGCCACATCCCCAGAGCAGATATTCCAAAGTGGCAGAGCCCCACAGCTCCCCTCCCCAGCTCTGCCAGAGGCACAGACAGGTCCCAACTGCTGCAGACACAGCACTCCAGGAGGAGGGAGCGCCACTCCCGGGATACCCACCAGTAGGAGTTGATGATCTTGCAGAAGGCCAGCTCACAGCACATCTTCAGGTTGCCCTGATGTTCGGGGAGGTCCGAAGATGAACATTTGCTGGGATCCACCTCACAATTTTCATCTGATTCATACAGTGCCTTGATGAACTCCCCTGTAAAACAGAGTTGGTGATGTGTTTGGAGACATGAGAAGTGCAGCCTTCAAGCAGCTCTGTTCCTAAGCCCCAGCGCCCGATCAGCTCCCTGGCACCCCATCACACTGGGGGAAGACGAGAGGGATACAAGAACACGTGGTGGTCCCTGGGGCAGCTCTCCATGTCTCCAGGAGGTCCCAGGAGGGCCTGGCAGCTCCTTGGGAGCTCACAACCAGCACAGCACACCCTGCACATTCTGTCCCTGTTGCCCAGCTGCTGTTCCTGTGGCTCTGGGATATTTCATCAGGACTCACTGACGCCCCTGCACCAGCTCCAGAGGCGCTCCCTTGGGCTAATCCAAGGAGGAAGGATGCTGGCAGGCCCTGTAATTATTGGTAGCACGGCCTGCTACTGCAGCCTGTGCCCTGGTGCTGACAAACCACTGTGATTCACCGGAGAAATAGGTAATTAAAGGAAAGAAACAATTTACTTGGTTTATTTTGAGCTGAACATCACATAAAATGAAATTAAAATATTTCCTTGAGTTTTCCTGTGCTCCTCTTTGCTGCCTGGCTGCTCCTCCTCACTCTTGTAGAGGCTCACACTGAGCTGCTCCACCAGCTTCTGCTCTCGTGCCAACTTTCACCCCAGGGCCCCTGGGCACAGCCCCTGCACTCAGGGTAGTGGGGTCAGTCCTTCATCCCAGCAGTGACTGGGGAGATCAGGGACAGGGTAACAGGGATGAGGAGGCAGCATTTTAGCTTTCTCCATTTCTGGGAGAAAGGTTTGCTCTGGTTTTCTTCTAATTCCAGTTGGTTTGCACCTAATTCCTGACTGTCTTGGATTTTTCCATCCTGTTTTTTCCCCATTCCAATCTGCATTCCTTCCCTATTGCCAAAACAGATTTTAATTACATACTGGAGAGCCTCTCCAGTGTATTTTCAGCTCTGCCAGGGAGCTCTGGAGCTGCTCTGCTTGCCTGCAGGTGATGCCTGCTGTTCTTAACCTGGCCCCATCACCTGCTCCATGGTTCCAAGGACAGTGCCACACTGCCCTGGGGCACCTTGTGACATGCAGGTGATTCATCTCCCTGGGAAAAGGTCACTCAGAACCAGTAACCCACAGTGAGCAGGAACCCCAGTCTCCTCCTGCATGAGAGGGAACTGGCCTGGCAGCACTGAGCCCCAAAAGGGAATATTTTAATATTCTCTGATATCAGTAATCTCCTGGCTTTTGGGAATTTTTATGAGTAATCTACTTACAAACTTGCCTTCAACCAGAAAGCATTACAAGGCAGAAATAAATAATATTCCTTTTGCTATTCTTGTGGGCTCTCTGCCTGAATTTGCTCAATTATTTCCCTTTCCTCAAGGTTTTCATTATTATTATTATTACTATTATTCTCTTAATAAAGTATTTATGCTTCTTTGCTCCTTGCTAAAATTATACAAATCCACTAGCAGGAACCCAACATACTAAAATATTAACACCTCAATAGAAACTCTGCTCCTCCTGCCCTGGGATGTGAATCCAATGGAAGCTCACAGAGCTTCCAAGGCAGCCTCTCTCCATCCTTGTGCTGTATTCCCTGCGTGCAGCAATTCCTTCCTGACCTGCCCAGAAGCAGAAGCTTCTAATTATTTTCATTTGCATCAAGAGAAGTATTTTTGGAGGCATAAACAGAGCCAGCACTTGTTAAAAAAAAACCACCAGGAGGGTTCCCAGTGCGGGATGATCCGAGAGGCAGCGCATCACTGCGACTTGGGAGATCTCATCTGACTTGGGAGTGCTGCAGGAGCCGGGCAGCGGCTCTGCTGGGGCTGCAAGGGGAGAGAGTCACTCAGCCTGTGACAGCCAGGCTGAGACAGAAGCCCTGGCAGGCAGCAGAATCCCTTCAAACATCCACTGGTTATCGCCTCTGAAAGCAGATGAAGGCGCCAGCTCTGTGGTCACCTTCACCTGGCAGCAGGGAGCTGCCCACTGTGGCCACAGCCGTGTCCAGGCGTGGAGCTGCTGCCAGGGAAACCCTCCAGCAGGAAAGTGCTGGGGCCCCTGCTGGCCATCAGGGCTCAGGTGACATCCCCACCTTGCAGCTTGGAGAACTTCTCTGGGCGAGACCTACCAACGCTCTGTACGTACCTAAGGCATCTTGTAAGTATTTCTGCCCCACCAGCTTCAGGTATTCTTCAATTGCTTTGGTGGCCAGTGTGTTCTCCCTGAAAATGAGATGCTCATTCTCACCACAGCGATCAACTTCAGACATCATCAGGTCAGTCAAGAAATCCTGGAAAGCAAAGCCCATGGTGGGTCACTGGTTCCACAGAGCTGCAGCTCCCCAGCCCCGAGAGGTCCCACCTTCCTCACACACCCGAGGGACTGGAGGTGCTGCAGGTGACCCTGTGTGAACACACTGCCTCACCACCTGCCCAAATTTCCTCAGAGAAGAGGGGAAATAAACCTCTGGACAGCCTCAACTCTTGCACCCCAACAGTGACTCATCCCAGACCTGCATCTGCCTCTCCATCGGTGCCGCTTTCTGGCTGCTGTCGTGTCAGCCTCACACTGTGTGGCCAGAACCTTTTCTCCCCTGTTACACATGGCTGTGTTTGGTGTCCAACTGCACTGGCTGCAAACCAGCGCCATGCTCCGATGTCACGAGCTGTGCCCAGTTAATGGCTGAGACACAAGCCTCTGATATCCACTGAGATACTCAAATTTCCCATTTCCTCCCTACACATAAACAGCACTGACAGCGCCAATTTTGGGCACATTCTTGGTCTGATGTGCACACAACCAAATCCATGGAATGTGATAACCCCCTGTGCTGCAGAGCAATGGAAGGGGTGAGCAGGAGCAGCCCCTGACAGCTGCCCCTGCATCAGTCTGGCCACAACTGCAAATTCCAGAGGAAAAACAACATTTTAGTGTGAACTCCGGGTCTGCTTCAGCCACAGCATTCACTGAGCAGGGGGTCAGGAGCTCCTGTGCACGCTGCTGATCAGAGTGTGCTGCAGCCAGGCCTGATCCAGGAGGAATGCCAGGCACCTGCTAATGCTGATACATGTTCTCTGCACTGCTAATGGACAGAGCAGCTCTGCCTGGCTCCTCCTCGCTGCACCAGGTGCTGAGGTGTCACCACTCACCTGAGTGACAATGGAAGGAGGCCACTGGCACTGTGCAAATCACCCACATTAACCCTCTGACTGCCTCCCATGGAGGAGACAGAGAAATGATGACACATACACTCATTCATCTCCACAACCAAGGGCACCTTCTTAAACTCCTTTCCATTAAAACAACATAATCTGCTTAGTAATAACCTTCCACTAAGAAATTCTTCATTTCCCCTGATGGTCACAGCCCGTTCCTGGCAGAGGCAACAGGAGCACCCCAAGCTGCCACACAGTGCCCCAGGTCCTGTCCCTGGTGTCCCCAAGCACAGCAGAGCTGCCATGGTCCAGCCTGCTCCAACCTGGGGTTGGTGACATCAGGTCCCACCCCCCACCAGTGACTGGATGGGAACTTTGCACCAGAAACTACTTGCTCCGTTTCATTTTTCACATGGACATCTCTGCATTGAAAGTTTAATCAAGGTTCAACAAACAGCTTTTCCTGAACCCAAGAGACCCAAATAATTTAATCCACAGACCCTCCATCACCATGCTCCTGTCCCAGGCAAAGGCAAGCCCCGGGGCAGGCAGGTACATCCCTGTGTAAGAGCACAGGAGGATGGGAGGTGACATCCCTGCAGTACCCAACGATCCACTGCTCCCACCTTCCCACAACAGCCTGATCCAGACCAACACACTGCCTTGACCTTCCCCCAAGATCCTCCAAAAATGCCAGAGGAGGAGCTTTGGGCTTAAAAAAAAAAAAAGTCACTTCCATTATTTCTTTAGCCAGAAGATGCCCTTCCTCAAATCCTGCTACGTCTGCAATGCTCTGGCAGCTGCAGAGGCAAAAATCCCTCCTGGAAGCAAAGCACGCGCCTCCCTCTGCTATTTTCTCTCATTTTGCCCTTTTTATCAGCCAAGCTGGAATGAAACTTTAAACCCTGCTCAAATCCCGTTAGCTGCTATCTGGGTAACTCTATCACCTTTATCTTCCCGGGGCTCTCCCAGGGTACGTTTCAATTCCAAGCCACTGCTCAGGCTGACACAAGGTGCTGATTCTTAATTAGCAGCCGCTGACCTTGGCTTTGCTTGATTCTCTTTCCTGTCACTTTCCCAACATACTAATTATCTCAGGAACACTGAGTTTTACAGCGTCTCTTAGCTGAGTGTTTGCTTTTCCCCCTCTTGTCAGCTGAGCACTGGCTGCTGAGTCCTGGAAACCCAGGGCCAAGTGGGAGCCAGAGTTAATGTGAATTTGGGTGACTTGGGCTGATCTACAGAATTCACTAGAATTTAGAATGAGGCAGGATTCCATGGCAGGACTCAACACAAAGCCAGAAAAGATCCCCTGGAAATCTCTGCTGCTGTTATTATTCCCTATGGAGCATCTGCAGCTCAACAGCTGGGAAAAGAACTTCTTGTCGCTGAAGTGGAAAGGAAAGCTGCTGAAGTCCCAGAGAATTCCATTATGGCACATCACCCAAAGCTGAGGAGTAACATCACAGAATCTGGCCTTGCAAGTGAGCAGGGAGAGGGGAGAGCCAGGACACCCAGCAGCATCCCAGGGGTCAGGATTCTCCCTGTCCCTGCAGGCCTGGGCTGCAGAGCCATACAGTTGGGCTGTAGCACCTGGCCCTGGGATGTGTCAGGGGTCAGAATTCCCCCAGGTACCGTCCTTGGGCGAGTTCCTCTGCAGGCAGTGCTCAGCAGCTTCGTGAGCCGCGGGAACAGCACTTCGGCCGCGGGTCACTGCCCATGACATCCTGCCACTTCTGTCCCAGGACCATTGGCCAGACCTTCACTGCTTCCCTTCCCTCCACACCAAAAAGCCACATCGGCTCTGGATCACACTTCTGCTGTCTCTGCCTGAAGTACTCCAGCAGCCAGCACTCAGAAGACACAAATGGAATGCAAATACTTGTGGAATCCCTCCGGGGGCCTCACTCACCCACATACAAGGTCCTGAATAAAATGCAATAACTAAAGCCAATAAAACTCCCTGTTTCTGAGCAGCAGAGATCAGCAGGGGGTTGTTTTCAGTTAGGGCCCCTGGCAATGGAAGAAAATAAGATGCTTTATTTCATTACATCTGAGTCGAGAGGGGAAGGAAGAGGTCTACAGTCAAAATTAAGGGCTGTGGCAGTGTTCTTCAGGCTTGTTCCCATGTTTATTTTAAAGCTTTTTGCTTCAGACTGGATGGATCTGAACCTGTGCGACCCCAGTCACTGCACATATGCTGATAAAGAAGAGCAATTCATAAATAAATAAATCTGGAGCATGACAGCGCAAGGCTGCAGTGGTCTCCACTTTGCACATAAACCAGCCTGTGCTATTCCACGGCAGCTCCTCCCAGTGCAGGCAGGAGCTGGCAGCCCCAGTCCCGAGGGGTGGCACTGGCAGTGCCCGGCCGTCCAGCTCCCGAGCCCGGAGGGCAGAAGGGTGAAGCCAGCTGGGTGCCTGCAGGGCTGTGGTGGGAGCAGGGGCGCTTCCAAAGAACCGACAAGCAATACAAGTCTTGTAGGACCTGTCCTGTCCAACCCCAGGAAGGATTCTGCACTTTGCCATCCCAGGAAGGTCCAGCCTCTCTGGGACATATCCAGAGCTGGAGCACGTGGGGTGCCAGGGAGCCCCGCGCTCCCTGTGGTGGTCACACACCCTCTGGGCTGGAGCTGATCGTTCCTCGTATCCTAACTGACTGATGGGCAGATTGACTTTGAAATAATAAGGTTCTCCAAATCACAAGCCTGATTAATAGGATTGACTTAACCTTAAGAGGATTGAATTGATAAAGGTAATAAGATTATTGCTTATTTCAAAGACTAGCTCAGAGTCCAGCTGGGCCCTTATGCAAAGGTGAAAACACCAGTGGGTGGGTAGGGCTGTGGGTTTGGGGTGGAGGAGCATTGGGACACACCCACGGGGGGAGAACTGCGACACAGGAGGCTTCGGAGCAGGGAAAGGAGAGCAGCAGAGGGGCAGCAGCTGGGTCCTGGACAGATGCTGTGAAGCTAAGAACCCCAGCCCCAAGTTCTCGGCTCTTCCATCACACAGATCCTCTGAGGATCTGCTCAGACATTCCTCTGCCAGGAAATAGAGTGATGTTCCCTCCTTGGAACCCTGGAACTCATCCATGGCACTTTTGGCCTTTTCTAATTCTCCTTGGGAAAAGTGGTGAAGGCAATGTGAGAGTTAACTCACAGGAATCTGTGTCCATCACCTTACTCGGGGAAATAAGCAAACCTGAGGGATACATCACCTCTCAGGTCCCTGTGCCTGCCTGAGCCCAGCAGTCACTTCTCATCCCTGTGTGGTGTCTGCAGGGCCCAGAGCCCTGACCCAGCCCTGCCTCTGCCACTGGAACGTGGGGTTCCAGCAGATCCACACGGGGGGAGCAGCTACATCTGCTCAGCTGAGGCACATCTTCACAGCACAAACAAACAGGGACACATGTTTATTCTTCACTTCATTCCCAGCACCATAAATATTTATTTCCAGTGAGCAGCTGGTTAGTTAGAGCTTTGTCTAATGCTAGGTTTGATCTACCAGCGCTGTGGACAAGAGAAGTTTTTTTGTATATTTATGGTCATGAACTGAGCTCTGGGAGCTCTAAGACAGCCCTGAAACAAATCTAAGCATGGGAAATATTCTGGAAGCATCAGTCCTGTGGGAAGGATGCAGCCACCTCTCTACAACCACATCACAGGGGCCACACCAAGCCCTGGAAGGCAGGACTGAGCACTTCTGGTAACTCCAACCCTGGCAGCAGAACTGCTTTATGACTTTGTGTCTTTCATCTGTGGGTTGCCAAAAAACATGTGAAAACCTTCGGGCGTCTCCACATCCTTACAGGAAACAAACACTTCATCAGTGCTCTCACTAGGAAGGTGAAAACAGGTAACAAGTGAAGGACTGAGCTGAGGGGCCACACCTCTGTTTCAGCCACCAAATATCCCTCTTTGAGCCTTTCTTGCCATAAGAGACAGGGAACATCTGTGAGTGCCGAGAGCTGATGGAGCACTGGATGTCTGTCAGATTTTCCAGTGGGCTGGGGTAGCTCTCTCCCTCCCTGAGTGCCTGCACTCAGAACCTTATCAAAACCCTCTTCCCCTCCCCTCCACCCTGCCTTGGCAGCTGCTCAGGGCTCTCCAGGCGTGCCAACCAACCCAGCACGGCGGGATGAGGTTCTACCCTTTCCCACACAGAGATCAAGGGAAGCACGGACTTTGACTCCAGAGGGGACTCTGCTTTCATGCTCCACCTTTTAACCTGTTGTGATACAGCTACACAGCCCAGGAAGAAGCAGAGATTTAGGGAAAAAATTCTTCCACAGCCCTTGTCCCCCTCCCACCTGCAGTCCCAGGTGTCCTGTCCCCCTGGCAGGAGCGATTCTGGGTTTTAGCAGCTCCAGGTAACCTCACCTGGCTGACAGGGTGTGCCTCGGGGTGGGTCTGTGGGTAAGGATGGCCCTGGCTGGGACCTGGCTGTGTCTGGCACATGGCACCATCGAACCTCTCCCGTGCCACCTCTCCCGGCCGGAGCTCCGGGCAGACACAGGACCCGATCGCGGCCTCATTAAGGGATTACCCCGCATTTACAGCAAATCGCTGCAGGAAAACAGGGCCCGAAACAGCACAACAGCAATTAGCTGCTAACGAGTCTTCAAGATAATCTACTGGACACTCGTTTCACAGTCTGACCGTAATTGCTGCTTTAGCTCAGCTACAGCAGCCAAGAGCCACAAAGCCCCTTTTATCAGAGAAATCAATCGGTGGTTGCCGATGGCTGCAGGGCAGGGGGAGATGTTGAAGGGCTCACTGGGAAGGCTCCTGGTGATGCACAAGGATGAGGAACCCACCTCTAGCCCGGGCAAGCTTCCAAGAGTCACGAGGGGACACACAGAAGCAGAAGGGGGGTCCCTGTCCTGCTGTCCCTGCACTCAGGGGTCAGGGTGGTGGGGCAGCCATGGGGAGCTCTCCTGAGGGACACTGAGGTGCACCCACAGCCCCCAAGCAGGGCTCAGGGGGTGCTTACTTCTTTTATTCATTATTTTTCTTTCTGCTGCTTTCCTCTCTCCCTGCTTGTCCAGCTCAGGATGCACCACCTGGTTCCCATGCTCCAATAACTCCTGTTGCTCTGACAGCTCCCCAAACCCCGTGCTAATGCTGATGGCAAATGACAGGCAGGAAAAGCAGAAGCTCCATTTTAGGGGAAAAGTCATCAAGTCTGTTTACTGTTTGCTGTGTCCCCTGTGTAGAGCCTCTGGGATCTCAAGCACTGATGCAGACACATGTCTGGAAACACACTTGCTCTCTCTGGAGCCTCTCCAGTACTGAGAGGCAGAGGAAAAAGCAGTGACAACCACCCTCAGCCATGCCCACACATGATCCATGGTGATTAAGACTGGGATGACACTTGAAGCCTTTTGCACCAGAACTGTGTAAGCCCTGGACAGGGTCTTTCATGGCAATGTTATTCCCACAAGGCCCTGGCATTAGGGCTGCAGGAGCCACAGCAAGGGGCAGCAGAGCCCCTGGTGCCAGCACAAGGCAGGGCTGTGCCCAGGAACCACAGACTGACAGCTCTGGAGCCCTGGAACAAGGAGTGAGCAGAGACACCAAGCACAGCTCCTTGTGGAGCCACAGCGTTATTCCACACGGACACGCTGCTCCCCTGTGCTCCGGGGATCAGGAGGCTTTAACGGGGCTATTTTCTCTGCCTCTGCAACAGCAGGCCCCTGGCTCCCAATCCTCTCAGCGAGCTTTGCCTGCCTTGAACTAGATCAGGAGGCCAAGCCACTTCTCTGTCCGACAGATGGTAACTAAAGCTAATCCACGAGCCCGGCCACGGGCCCCGGCAGCAGCAGCAGCTGCCAAGGAACGGAGCCTTGTGATTGCCCCTCAGGTGAAGAGCTCATGTCTCCTCAGCACTGCAAGAGCTTTGGACATCTTGCCCTTGCCCAGTTCTCCCCTGCAGAGCGCAGGGTGATGGTAACAGAGAAAAACCGAGATGCTTTAACTCCTGCAGCCCTGAGATGGGCACTGCCCCCTATGGCTGTGCCAGGCCACCAGGGATAAAGGATGCTCTGCAGCAGAGGTCACTCCCTGCCCTGTGTGCTGGGGACCTCAGCAAGGAAGGGCATTCCAGCTCTGCCCACCCTGCCTGCTCCCTCACAGATCACAGCCAGGAGTAACACTCTGCCTCCCCCTGGCCTGGCAGGGCATTCCCAGCCAGGAAGGAGGCTCAAAGTGCTTCACAAAGGCTGAACTTCCACCACGTGCAAGTGGGTGGCATCAACCCCCAACAAGCACTGCCATGGGCACACCCCTGGGCCCCCTTCCAAAAGCAGTAGGACAGACCCTGAGGACCAAGAGCTGATCCAGAGACATGCATGCCTGCAGGCACTTTGGTCTGGAATCCTGGAGAGGCTGCTCACTCCTGTTCAGCTTCCACTGTGCAGGGTGCTCAGTGCAGAGGGAGCAGAGCACAGAACCTGCTGGGTTCCCCAGGAACACCCAGCACACACAGGCCAGCACTGGTTACATTCCATCCTGGAAAACTGCCTTCTTATTACTTCCACAACTGTGTGTTTATACAGAAAGAGCCTGGCCCCTGAGCCTCCAGAAGGAAAGTGAAGGGAAGTGGCTCAGTTGGTGCCTCGTGGTCCCACCAACCTCTCTGCTAATTAAGCAACTTGTGCTGTGTGTGCTACCAACTCGTTTGCAATCAAAAGAAAAACAGAGCATATTAACAATGGCCCGAAGCCCAACTGAGGAGTCTTCCCAACCCAACCCTAGAGTCTGCTCCAGATGGCAGAGGGTCCTACCTTGGCCTTGCCCGTGCTCTGCAGGATGTGCACCAGCGCCGACGCCATCTCCTCCTTGTTCTTCACGCTCAGCGAGGGCTCCAGCACCGAGCACAGCACCATGTAATTGTTGGTGATGTACTCAGCAAACTCCTTGTACATCTCCATGGGAAGGATGCTCATGCTCTGGTAGCGGGACTTGATGCGGATCATGGGCCCTGGGGACTTGCCCTTGCCAGGGTTGGGGCTCACCACTGGGTACCATTTCTCCACGAACTGCCGGCCCGTCACCGAGCTCACGGGGATGTTCACCTGCCCAATGAAGTTGGTCTTGTCCTTCTTCTTCTTCTTGTCAGTCTCTTTGTATAAGTGCACAGTAATGTTTTTGAGCGATGGGAGGTTATTAAATTCAAAGTGCTCCCCCCAAAACACATTATCAGTTTTCAATTTACAGGTAGTTCGTGCATAAAGAACATCATCCAGGCATAATTCACACAAGTACTTTTTCTTAGCTGGCAGGTCCTTGGCTTCAATAATCCATAACTTTAACATATTCTCTACCCTTCTGCTGTTGTCCTGAAAAAAAAACCCACAAAGAAAAAGAGGTCAGTGAAAAAACCCCACAAATCCAATCACAACAAAATTGGAGATATGAATTAATTATTTCGGATGTGCTAAATGAGCGGAGGCTTAATTACACTTTATTTTAAGGAAATACTGGCTCTCAAGAATTTGCATAATAACACTACTTATGTTAATTTTCCAAAATATCATCGTGCTCTCCATGTCTGTTGGTGCCAATTAATATAAGGAACAAGGGAGATTAAACCCCATCCAAATCATAAAAGTACCATTTCTCATTCCCTGCCAAGAGTGCCTCTGAAGAATCCAAAAGAACCTCACTGGTCCTGAATGGTTTGTGCAAAGCAGAAGCTGTTACAGGTATCCCACAGCCTCCTCTTTTTTCAGTAGAGCTGCTTTACAGCAGCATTGAGTTCATGGTATTTCCTGTAACACAGCAACACAAAGGGACCTGAATGTACACCCAGGGATCACCTCATCCACATGGGAATGCCACCACCAATGGCAGGGAAAAAACTGTTTATAAAAACCTCATCATATTTTCGGGCAGAAGTCCAGGGCACCCAAATTAAACACTGAGAGGAATCATGGGAGAGGGCATCCCATGGGAGAATCATGACAATACAGAGACAGAAATCTGCCTTGGATATCTTTTAAACAATAACAGAGCCAAGCATACTGTGGATCTTTCAGAGCTCCCTTGTGATGCTGACCTCATCCTGGAAGAACATCCAGGGGTATTTGCTGCAGGAGTGACTCCAAAGATAAAGCACTGGCAGCTGCACCACTGCTGGGATTCTGCAAACCCTGTTTTGTTTGGAAACCCCTCACTGAAACTGCAGCCATGGTTTACTCTGCTCAGCCCAGGAGTCTGGGCAGGAACATTTCTGCTGGAAGCCCACAATGGGGTACTGTAGGTTCAGGAAGTACACACAGGAACTGCACAAGAGCACTGAATTCCTGACAGAAATATCAAGTCAGATACTGAGAGTTTATTGTCTATGAACTCAAACAAAGATGGAAACTCTGCCATCAGTTACTGCAGGTTTTGAGATGACGGAAACACTTCCAAATGGATTTCCACTCAACACTGCACCTTGAAGCCACATGCCCAGCCCCAACTCACATTCCCAGGAGTCCTCTCATTCTAAGTACAAACTTTACACAGCCCTCTCAGGTCAGGATCACCAGGAAAAGCCCTTGGAATGCACTGGAGCCTCTGAACTCCACTAGAGGAACATGCTGCCAGAGGCAGAAGGCCACCTCTCCCCTCCACTGCTCACATTCTGATATTACAGGAAACCTTTTATTCTGACATTTGACACTATGCTGGGAACAACAAATTCTGAGACTGAGGGCCCCTTTAGAACCCACCAGGACTGGACAGAATTAGTGTGCACAGCCAGGAGGAATTCACAGACTCCCATCATTTGTACCTTCTCTGACCAGCAGCAGCAGACCTGGTTGAGCTCATCAGCTGTGGAATCCTGCATTAATCCTGACCAATCTTTGCTGCCAACTCCAGCACAGCGGGGAAGAAGCAGCTGTATGTTTTATTTTAGGATGTACTTAGTCTTAGTGGGCCATAAAAATGCATATTGGGTGTCCCTGTGTTCTAGTGAAGAGAAGGATTTGTTCCTGTAAATCCCAGGAGATGACTTTGCACCTTAACTGGATGGAGAAGGGAAAGCTACATTCCACTGTCGCCTCTGAAAATGGACATCTGAGCTCCTCCATCACTAAAGCAGACTCTGTGTCAGGAGCTGACACGTGAACTCTTCAGACTGTTCAGCCTTGTGACTTTGCTGGCAGCTACCTGACATCTGTCCCACGGCTTTTGGGAGGTGAAAGTCCTATGGAAGTGGCAAGTACCATCAGTAACAGCAACACTGAAGATTCTTCAGGTCTGATCAATTCTTAGCAAGAGCTGAAGCAGCGTGTGCTGAGAAGAGAGGGGAAGGAATAATTGGCGCTTGTCTGTAAATATAATTGTGGAAGAAAGCAATATGGAAAAAGGCTGACCCGCAGTTCCACTCACTCACTCCAATGACAATGTGTCCCCTGCTGCTCCCATGCACTGGGCTATAAAATGTAATAACGAGGAACTGAACTAGAGCAGAGGCAATTCCTCACAGCCACTACCTTGTTGGGGTGCACGGCACGCCGCAGGTTCTCCATCCATTTATCTCGCTCTGCTGCTGAACGACACGAGAAGCACTTACTTCCTGATGAAGTCGTCACCTACAGGGAAAGGAACAGGATTACGTCTTGACCAGCACACTGCAGAGTGTGGCTGTGGGGAGAGGGGGGCTTAGGGAAGATGCTAGTGGATTTTATTTTTTTTTAAGTAAACAGCTTTACCCAAGCATGAAGCAACAGTCCCTAAGGCTGGCGGAAAAACAGGACAACCCTGTATGTCACAGAAATAATCATAGAAGCAAATTCCAATTACTTCTCCTCTTCCACACCAGAAAACACTAGGTAATGGGCCCCATGCATGTGATGATTTAAACCACCAAGTTCCACAACTGAGAGAGCGCAAATCCTTAGATGAACTAAAGATAAATTGGAACTCCAAGTGGATACTTGGCATTCCTCCAGGCTCAGCCAAAAGCCTGTGAGAGTAACAACCCATTCCTTGTTTCCAGCAGAAGGCTGGGCTTGAAAAGGCTGCTTTGCCACCTTCTCCCTTTGTGTCCTGCTGCTCCTGGAGCCCTTGCTGTGAGGATCATGGGGACAGGTGTGTACACCCCACTCCTGGCTGTGGTACAGCTGGTACCAGCTCAAGGCCCAGCTGGGGCCCTCAGAGCTCACAGCACTCACACCCTGCTGGGGAGAACCAGGGGGGCTTCCCTGGATGTGGCTGGAAGTGCTGCTGAGCCCTGCTCTCACCTCTCATACTTCCAGGTTCATCCCAAGGGATTTTCTGCAGTATTTGTGTGACTTCCTCTGGCCATTGGGAGCTTGTAGCCATAGGGTTTAAGAAACACACTCACAGCAGGGACATTTCCAGAGGTGCAAGTGCCCCTTATGCCTCATCACATTCCTGCTATCCCAAGGAAACTCAATCCTGCTGAGCCCATGGAAGCACCACTGTCTGGCAGCCCAGAATGGCAGGCACCAAATTTCCTTCCTACGCCCCCACACCAAACTTACTTGGCATCAAAGCCAATGGCTCCCTGCTCCTCACACCCAGACATCCCCCAAGCTGCCATCTCCTCCACAGGTGCTGGTCCTGAGCACCAGGAACACCAGTGACTCCAGCTCTCTGCCCTTTGCACTTGCTTTTGTCCAGCAATATTCACCATGTACAGCTCTGCTGGGAGGCTGAATGGACCTGGCTGGTACTTTAAATAACTCCCCACTGAGCTTCATTTCCGCCAGTCTCAACCTGCAGAGTTATTTGTGAGTGCTTTATCATCCCCCAGTGTTTGTGTTTACACATTGTGCACTGGGTTATCAGCTTCTGGGAGACACAATCTCCTTTAATTTCATGTATCTCCCAGAAGCCCAACCTGTTCTTACAGCAGAGCTGGCCCTCGCTAAGATTTGTCATTAGCAAACCTCAATGATAAGCTGAACACATCCCTTCCTTTGAACACAGACCAGGGCAGAATGAGAAGAGGCCTGTTCTGTCTTTACATAAAAATGCAAAGAATCTTCCGACTCTTGATATTCCAGAGGCTTTTTCCTTCAGACAGACACCCTCCCAGTTCTTGCACACTTTTATACTCTGCCTGTAAAACACAAGCTCTCCTGTAGCTCCAAGAACAGACTCCATACTAGCAGGCACAGCACTGTGACCTTTCCAGCATCCCTTCACACTCCTGAGTATTTCCAGCTTCTTCAAAATCTCCTGTGACAAACCCCCCCTGCCCCATCTCCTCTCTGCTGCTGCTCCTGTTAACCTCCATCCCTGAGCCTTCCCACATGGAGTGCTCCTGGCACACAGATTTGTCATTGTATTTTCTTGCCACACTTAGGTAAACACAGGCGTTATCATGGCCAAATTAATTATTCAATTTTAAACCAATTATAAATTATTCTTTCAAAAACTAAAAAACCTGTAACTGTCATACTGAAGTGAGAGAAGGGGAAAATCGTGTGTCAGATATGAAGTGTGTCTTGGTCTGATGGGAGCTGAAGATCACATCCACCATGTGTGACCAAAAATGTGATTTTCCCCAGATCTGCAATCAGATTCCAGCTTTGAGTTCTGACTTAAATATCACGTGGCATTAACCATCTTTATGAGATACTAATTATCTTTATAAAGAGAATATTCTTGTCTCATCAAGATTTTGGATATGCTGGAATACTCTTAATGTACAGGATAAACTCAATTAATAAAACTCATTAATTTCTGAAATGTTACTTTTCCTATTCATTATTCCCAGTCCCTGGATGGGTGATCTGTTCATATAAAATCTTGTCTTTTTAAGACAGTCCTAAGGTACAGGGTGGCTTCACTCGAAGGGACATGCATGGAGTAGCAGGGGATGATAACTGAGCACTGGAGGGGTTTCACTCAGTGTCCAGAGGATTTTCCAAGGAGCAGTCAGGGCTCAGCTGCACCCCTGGCCCTGCAGCTGCTCAGGGCATCCAAAGGGCCGCTCGAGCAATGGCCAACGTTTGCACAGCTGGATCGAATTTAGTGCTGCTAAATTTAGCTCCATGGAATTGTGCCTTGCTGCTGCAAGGCCAGGATGAGGCAACAGGCTCAGCTGTACTGGAGAAACCACAGTTTGTCTTTCCCTCAGCTGTGTCCTGGGACAGCTCAGGCACAGGACAAAGCTTTGGTCTGCCAAAACCTAAGAGAGCCCCTCAGCTCTAATGGCCCTGCCTGGCCCAGGACCCCCCAAAAACCAGGGCCAGGATCAGGCTCTGGGAGCCTGGGCTCTGAGCCTCTGGCACTGGCTGAGATGCCCACTGTATATTTAGCACAACACAGCACATGCAGAGGCACGGGATGATTTGCTGACTGAGGAGTCTTGCAAGGAGAAAGAAGATGATGCTGAGTAATTTGAAAAAAAAATAAAAAAAGTCAATGAAGGAAACAAGTAAATACTGACTGCCAAGTACTCAGCAAGTGAGAAAAAGCAAGTTTCACAAAACTAAGTAAGGAGAAAAAGCCAAATGCAGCCTGTGGAAAAGCCCTGCCCTGGTACTGACTGAGCTCCCTGGCAGAGCTGAGGGGAGCTGGGCTGAGCACGTCTTAATGCAGGGTGGTGGAGATAAAAGGGAGGAACAATTCCCTGCACCTTCATCCACCAGATGCCTCCCAACGAGCCACTTGGTTGTTTTCCACTGCAGATGGCTTTGGCACCTCTCGCTTTTGTCTCCGTCTGGGTGTGCTGCCAGTTCCTCTGGAAGCGCTCTGCTCCATCTGCAGCCGTGTCAGACCCTCCTGGCCTGTTCCCCTCCAGGGGAGGAGCAGTGCCAGGTGAGCACTGATGGCCACGGGCCAGCTGGGGATGGAACAGCTCCTGAGGCTGTCCCTGCCCGGCCACCCCACGGCCGGCAGAAGGTGAAGGATTGAGCAAGGCTGGCATTGCCCAGCAACAGCTTCACTTCCCAGCTGGAGGCAGCAGCCCTGCCTGTTCCCAACACATCTCTCGAGGGAGCAGGTCCATGACAGCCTCAGGGGGCAGGGATGAGGCACCACTTTCCCCATCCACTGCACACCTCAGCTCCCCTCATCCCTGGGACCCTGGCAGGGCTTTCTCACATGGCATTTCTTGGTCAGAGCTGCTTTTCCAGGACATTCCCTGAGCTCCTTTGTGTCCATCAGTGATGCCCGAGTGCTGGGGGCTGTAGTCACTGCCTGGCCCCCAACAGGGGACCCAGGAGATCTGCAAACTCATCCCGGTGCTGAGCTCAGTCCCAGCTGGGAAGAGGCTCTCAGGAGACACGAGACCAAGGCATTGACACAAAATGCCATTTAGCTCTCACCTCGGTCCCTCCTGCTGGAGGCTTGTTGGTGAGCAGCCACCAGTGACAAATCAATGTCCCTGTTGTTTCCTGGCATTCTTCCTCTCCTCTGCAGGGTTTGCAGAACAACAATTAACACGTTCTTTTTTTTACAGTGTGACTTCTCTTTATCCAACTCACTTAACCCCAAAATTTTCTTCCTCCTTCCAAGTGCATGGCTTGTGTAATTTCCCTCTCACTCAACTTTCTACAAGTTCTGTTCATATCCCTTCCTCTCCTCTTGTGGGCTGACCAGAATTGGTAAACAACTCTTATATTATGGATGTCACATTTATTTTCCATCTAGCTTCATTTTATCTTTCTTGAGTGGAATGTAATAGAGGACATGTAATTTACAAAACTGTTCCCCTCCTGACCCATTGCACTTGCTCAATTCCACAAAGAATGAATAGCACTGCAAAATTTATACCTCAACCAACTAGAGAGTTTATATTTGAGGCTATTTTTTTGTAAGACTGTTTTCATGTTACCCACTTATATTTTAAGAAATAGATCTTTTAACTCACTTATTTCAAAATGTGCTGATTTCAGTAAAGAAAAATATCTTTATCTTTCCAGTCTGACTCCTCTTGAACCCTGACGTGTGTTCTCATCCAACACAGCCCATCCAAGGACAGCCTGCAGTCCCATCACCCCTAGAGCACAATCCAAGCACAGCTACACCATTTATCTGCTTCTCTGTGTCCAAGCACAAACAGGTGTTACCTGCTCTTCACAGAAACACAAACATCCACCACCTTATTACTGCAAGAAAACCATTTCCCAGTTCTATACCCAGCCACTGCCATAAGCAGTAATACTTTGCCATCCACAATTCAGGACAAATGATTCCCGAGATATCCTGTACTGAATTACCCAGCCACAGCCTGGGTTGTGCGTGCCCTACTCCCTCCCGCTAGCACAGACCCTGCCACATGCCATAACAGATGTCAAAGTAATCTGAAATACTCACAGATTTTTCTATTTACTCAAACAAGGGAAGCTTCAGTTTTCTAGACAAAGTCCTCCACACTCCCACTGACAGCAGCAGGCTGGCTCTGTGACCACATGTAATATCTTTGGGAACAGTGAGTAGGGATTAGCACTTCCCGATATCTGTATGAACATAAACTGTAGGAGCATAAACAAATTTATGCTCTGCTGATACACAGCCCTAAGCAGTGCAGCACCTGTGCCAGCAGCTCTGCTGCGACAGCGCTTACAAGGAGCTCATTGCTCTGATTGTGTGGATATGATCCTCTTTGGAAGATGGGAGCAATTTTCTGCCTATGAAATGCTCTCTGTGTAGCAATTCCGAGCTGCAATGTTTGGTAACAGCCAGAGCCCAGATGCCAGCCCACACCTGGCTCCCCAGGCAGCCCCAGCACGGCAGGAACAGCCCCAGAACGGCTCCTTACCTCAAAGCAGTAGTCTTGTCCCAGGATGCTACTGTGGACAGGCTTGATGACCACTTCCTCCTCCATACTGAGATCCAGAGCCTCAACAGCACTACTGGGACTGAGCAAGGACTCGTGGGAGCGTGATTCTTTCAGCCTCGGCATTAGATGGGATCTGGAGGAAAAACATAACCGTGTCAGTGGATGCTCTCCTTCCCAGAGAAATCTGTTAGCAGCAACTGCACAATATTCCTGGGAATGTTTTGTCATGGGATAACAAAGTGCCCTGAAGAACAGGGCCTGCTACATGGTCCCACCTGTAATTTCTAAAGGTTCCATGACAGCTGGTATGAGCAGTAAAACAATTTTTCCCAACTCTGATGCTGTCAGGAGTCAATTCTTTAGAGGTTTGCACACTGTGAGGTCTCTGAACAACCAAATCGAACTCTAAATGGCCACCACAACTACTGAGGGAGACTTCCCAGGTGTGGGGAGGTTCCTAAACGAGATTTCCCAGGTGTGGGGTGTAGCAGTGTGGGTGCATCGGAGGCCAGCTGGCCCCAGCACTTGCTGCTGTCTCAGCAGCACCACTGGGTCTGCAGCACCTGGTGCTGATCTCTGGTGGTGCCAGAACCTCACTGAAACACCCATGTCTGATCTGTCCAACAACCCTTGGGCTCATGTGCTCTCCCTGATTGTGACACACATCCCTGGGATGGGGAGAGTGTGGAAAATAAGGCTGTGATAGCCCTATTGATTGATCTAAATGCTCTGGAGTCCCACTGGCAGCATTTAGCAGCAGGGAGCCCACAGACAGTGAGCAGAGCACCATTTTTGAGACAGCCAATACAATCAATGGTGCAGTAACTCTTAAAGCAAAACCAGAGAGCTCAAGGGGAAAAAAAAAAAAAAGAAAGAGTGCTCCCAGGGAAAACACAGCAAACCCATAAAGTGGCAAGGGAAAAAATAACTTGAGTGCAAAGGGAGCAGCTGCCTCCTCTACAGCCTGTACCATGTGAGATGTTCCTAAGCCAGAGCTCCCATCCCGGTAACTCTGACCTTTAAAACCTCTGGCAAGCACTTTGGGGGCTCCCCAAGAGATTGAGTGTCCCTGTCTACAAAGGGAGCATGATGCCTTCTCCAAAGGCACGGAAGGACAGCGATAAGGGGAGTTTGTGATATTCTCAGCATGGTCTTTCATGAGCCAAACAACAATGCTCCCACTATACTCCCAGCTTGCTCTGATGTGTGTGTTGGATTTTGTTGTTCTCCAGAATGAAGCTGACCAAAGCAGAGAGAAATATCAACAGTGCATGCAAAATCCATTGCTTCCAGGGAATCACACACCAGGCTGGATCCAGAAAACAGCCCAAGGAGATTCTCAGATAAACGGCAGCAGCAGATAAACAGGTGCTTCTCTAGATTTGCCATTAAGATTCAGGCCATGCATGAAGCCCCAGGTGATAACAGAACTGCCTGTGGCTGATTCCCTGCCTGAGCTGCTCCATGGAGAGCTCTGAGTGCCGGGGCCACCTCCTCCCCAGGGCCACCCAGCCTGGGACACGCTGCCGAGGGCTCCGGGACATCTCCCTGCACCTAGCGGGCAGCAGGCAGGACCAGCTGTGGTGACACCAGTGAAACATCTGCAGAAGAGCCACCAGCACGGGGGTTCTGAGGGGACACCCACAGCCCTCAGGCTCTGAAAGCCCTGCTGGGGCTGGCACAGTCCTCTGCTGCATCAGGAGCTCCGGGTTCCCAGCAAAGGCTCTCCATGCCATTAGCCATTCTCTCAGCTGCCCACTCACCCCACATCTCTATGGTGAGTAAATTGATCTTTAGGAACCCAGCACAGTCATTTCCCAGTACTTTGGTAATTTTACACTATTTTCAGAGAAAAGGGTCCCTATCCTTTTCCTCTGAATGCTACTGTAAATTAACTCTAATACAGACAGACAGATCGAGTTACCTCTGGATGCTGAGTGCAGAACTAATATCCAGCAGCTCAAGAACTGACAGTACAGACTCCTCACCCAGCCCAGATAAGCCCAGAATCAAGGCATTTCTGGTAAATCTTATTTCCATGTTTTACAGATGAAATTAGAAAAGGTAAATAACCAAGCTGAGACTTGCATTCTTGTGTAGACAAATATAAATACTGATAAAATAAACCCACAACTCAGTACATCACTGAATTGCATCGCCTCATGCTGGCTTAAGAATTTTTGTAAAAATTAAAACAAAACAAGTCTATTTTTCATTTAAAACTACTGCAGCTGGATGGCCATGGGTGGGAGTGCAGATGTGCAATTCCAAGGATGACCAAAGGGGAGGTTCTCAGGACATATTACGCTCTCACCAGATTCAGTAAATGTGTGTTTATATCCCTCCGTGCTCTGCCGAATGCCTCTGGGAATCCTAAAACAAATGGGACTTTTTTAGGGAGGTTATTTATCAGGTCCCTGCCTCAGCAGGACCTGCTCCCACGATGTCTCTCACTCCCGAGCGGCCGCTCGGATCCGGCCCAGGTCAGCAGCAGACACGTTTCTCACCAGATGCTGCTCTGTGCAGGGGGAGCGCTGCAGGTCTCAAACCAGCCCTAAAAACCCAGCATCTGTCTGTGCATCAAGGGCTAAGTGGGGAGATGTCATTAATTAGAGCTGTTGGAAATCTCAGCAGCAGGGATGAGGATCTCTCTGCCAGAGCAGCCCTGGCAGGGCAGGAGCAGCAGAGCTCCCCCCCCGGGCTCTGTCCCATCTCTGTTCCACGCCCCTGCCTTCAAAGGGCACACGGTCCTTTCATTTTAATCCCTGTTCCAGGGCAGAGAGCACTCGTGTCCCTTGGTGACATGACGGTGTCAGGAGCCCATTGACTGGAAAACATTTGTCAGTCCCTGTCACTGCTCCCACAAACTTCTCCTCATACCAGCAGTAAGAGAAAGGCCACAAGCTGCCTTCCAGAGCCTGAGAGCAGCACCCACAGCGACAGGGACACCTGAATTCCTGCAGACCTGTGCTGTCCATCAGCCATCCCAAACAGCCAGGCGTGCCTGGAACACCATTTGCTGACACTTCCAACACGACAGAGGTACTTTGTTCACATTCATCTCCCCTGCCATCAATGTGAAGATGCTGTCTGTGGGGCCATCCGATCTCTTGCTCCAGTAACTCGCTGTGTATTCCAGGTCCTGTCCTGGTTTACGTCAGCTGATCTAATTCCAATCCTACACCTTTGTTTTAATATGCTGGGAACGGCCAGCTGCCCAGAGCCATCTCACAGCGGGAACCCTCTTTCCAAACAGCACATTCAGTTCTTTTTGCCAAGGGCCTTTTTTAAATCCCTTTTTACTTGCCTAAAGTTCAGTTGAAATGAAGGGGGGAGTAAAAAATCTCATAAAAGACCACATTAGTTCTAAAGAGAAATAACATTACTGCTACCGGCACTGACCCGGCGAGTCCTGCGGAGCAGCAGCCAGTCTCTGGTTATTAAAGAAAGAGCTCTGCTGCCCGAGAGCAATCAGAGAGGATTGTTGTGCTAAATAATAAAAGTCATAAAACATTACCATGTGAAGAGATGTAGCCCCTCTGCCTGTGCCCTCCACAGCCACTTGAGTATCACCAAATCCAACCAGAAGTACGTGGACTGCAGGGAAGACTTGTAAAAACAAGCATGGAGAGGCAATCCATCCTCTGTTCACCCAACTCCAGGGCTGGGTTTTGAGCAATGGAGGCAGCAAACAGCGCTGCAAAGAGGCAACTCTGTCAGTCCTCATTTCAGAGCCTCACCTGCCTGAAACCACCCGGCTGCTGCTCCTGTGGTTTTATGATGAAAATGTTCCTGATTATTTTTGAGAGACAGAAACAAACAGAACCTGGTGGGTGGCTGTGTAGGGATGGAGCAGACACAAAATCTAACACTGAAACACAGAGGGAAAAAATGAAGAGCCTTTTTTAAACCTCCTACTGTTCTGCTCTGAGAGCATGAGTGGATTGGGGAATTCTGAAGGAAGTCCAGGCCCTAAGCGGAAGAAGTCCCATTGACACCAGCTGTGGAGCTGGCAGTGTGCATGCTTCCCCAGTGTCAGAAGGATCTGATCTCCCAAATTACATGTTTGACTCTGTGACACATCTCCTGGTCAGGAAAGATTCCCTGTGTGCAGCATTTTGAGGCTGACAGTTCTTTTCTGTGCCCAGCTGGGAGCAGGTTCTTTAGGGCAGCCTTGACCCCCTCCCTTGCACTCTCCTGCTGCAGGGGTCCTCCCTGCCCAAGCACAGTGGAACAGCCCAGCAGATCCACATGCAGCACAGACAGAATCTAAATCTGTCTCCAGCCTGGGGATTAGGGGTTTGTTATGACTGAGAACAAAGTGCACAACTCCAGTAAATTGATCTGCGACATCAGATGGGAGAAGGATTTTAGCAGTTGCAGATGGGAGTAAATCACCCACCATCCTCTGCCAGCTCCATCCAGGAGCTCTTCCCGGTGCCACTGTCCCTCCTGAGCCTCACTGCTGCTGGTTCACTCCGGGACTATGCTCTGCAGAGCCCAGACTGCTCGGATTTGCTTCCCACTGTCCTCCACAGCAGCTCTCCCCAGGGCTCAGCAGTGCCTGTGTGACCCCCCCCGCCGGGGCTCACTTCCCGCTGACCTCGGGACCACTGCTGGGAGTTCTCATCCCTTCCTCCCCCGAGCCTCATCCTGCTTCAATGTAACAAATAAATATAAAAGCGATGTTATGGGAGTAACCACCACCAACAGCACACAAGAGAACTCGCAGGCTTCCAGGAGATGAAGAATATATTTTTTTTCCCCTGTAGAGGAGGACGTGAGGATGAAGTCTCAGCATGCAGCAGCACACCCTTCTCCATGTTCTACTGCCCTGAACTTTCTCCTGCTGTTCCCTGAACTCCAGCTGCTGAGCTCTGCCTGGGAAACTGCTCAGAACACTCACGATGCGAACCTGGCATTACAGGCTGCACTCACTAACGCAACACCTTCCCTGAGCAACACAAAGGACATGTAATTAAACTTATTAATGCCTGCCCTTGTTTTCAGACTGTTCTCAGTTTCAACCGGCAGCAGGATTAATTACATTCAAAAGGACTCTGTCAGCTCATACCAGATGCCAAATGTTGTTTTTGCCAGAGCAAACCTGAAGGATGATCTTAACCTGTGACA